TTAGCCCATCTCCAGAAACTTCCTTGCTTGCACTGTCCTTGTCCATTAGAGAAGCCTCTAAGATTCCTTTCCCTCTCCCTCCTTAATAAGCTGTTCACACAAATGAGTATTGCCATACTCATGCAATAACAATCTTTTCTTGGGCAATGGTTAGAATTATTCATTGCCAAAAGTGTTAAAAGAAAGCTAGCACTGCAGTCCTCTCTATTCCTGGGGAAATTATCTGGCTTGGTTAGAAATGCTCTGCTGTCTGTCCAAAACTAGATTTTTGTTTTATGGATGTAATTTTCTCCAGAACTGAATGGATTTCATACACTTCAAAAGAAGAAAATGTGAAATTAATTGCATAATGTAACCACTGTGAATTCATCCCAGTTCTTTACAAAACACTTCTGTCGCCTTTTCATTTAGGCATCACAGTCTCTACCCTGAACAGTGTTCCTGAGCTGGATGTGCACTGATAATGTGGCCACATCTGAAAGGCACTGAAAACACAGTTTTAAATTATTTTTCTGGACATAGTTTCAAGTTCAGTATAACGTATTTAATTCTTAATCATATGAGGTGTTTTTACCTTTATACCATTGCAAAGCTGCAGATTAGTGATTAAATTGCTTTGCAAACATGATATTTTATCTTATGATAAAATAATGACATGTAACCGGAGCTCTACAGACTTACCGCATATCCTTTGTTGCTATTGTAATACTTCTATAACATGATCTCCATTATGCTGAAATATGAATTAACGTTGTTTGGCCAGCATAATCCCACACTGTAATCATACTTTTAGAATATTAAAATGGATCTCCTTGTTACTTTGAGTTGTAACTTTCTACATATCTAAACAGATGAATTGGATTTAGCTAGGCTGCTCCCATCAATGTCAAGGGAGTTATCTATTTAAATAACCCCATGTAATTTGAGAAGGGAGGATGGAAGTTGATCTTGTTCAGTCACCAAATCTCATTGTTCGGTGGCAAAGTATTATGTTTACTGTAACAACCTTAAGATGATCTTCCAGTGTACTATGAAGAATAGCTTTTCTGTATAGGCATTTTCAGTCTTTAATCCAGTATGTCAAAAAGAATAACTTATTTTGCAATGCTTATACCACCATGAGAATTACATATTGCTCAGTTCTGCTTTGCCACAGTCTATGTTGTTACTGGTGTGCTTACTATAGTCTAGTCATATCAATATGTACAGTTGTTGTTGTTGTTGTCAGTCGCAAAGTCGTGTCTGACCCATCGCCACCCCATGGACAACATTCTTCCAGGCCTTCCTGTCCTCCACCATCCCCCGGAGTCCACTTAAGCTCACACTGACTGCTTCAGTGACTCCATCGAGCCACCTCCTCTGTCCCCTTTTTCTTTTGCCATCTATTGTTCCCAGCATTAGGCTCTTCTCCAGGGAGTCCTTCCTTCTCATTAGGTGGCCAAAGTATCTGAGTTTCATCTTCACTATCTGTCCTAAAGAGCAGTCAGGGTTGGATGAAACTCCCCACTTTATTCAATGGCACTTACTTTCCAAATAAGTATGCATAGTATTGAAACCCACAGAAGAGAGGAATTGTATAGGTCTAGAGGCAGAAAATTATCTTTACCCCAGTGAACTAAAAAAGATATGAGACTGAAGAAGGGCAGCAGTACAAAAATCATGTTCAGTGGAAGCAATCATGATGCAGCCTAATTTTTCCATTGACCGGGAAAGAATGTGCATATGCATTTCAGTGGGCAGCAGGATGAATGGTGCTGCCACATTCATGTCTCCCCGATTTGACTGGGAAAGATCCTCTGTTGGCATCAAGATAAATAGGTTGTCTTTCCAAGGGTTGGACATTACCTTGGGCGTGTGTTTCCTGGAGAATCCTTGTAGGTGACACCAAAGGGAATGGCTGGAGAAACATCCTCCAGGTAAGTAATTTTCTTTCTTTCATAAATCTAACATCTTAAATCTTAACTTACCTCTGCAGAAATGCACTTTGTTCCTTCTATCCCACTCCCACTGAATCACAGAGTTGGAGGGTTCTTGTAGGTCACCTGGTACAACTCCATCCTCAGTGCAGGAAATCCATGGGGATTTCCAGCAAAGTAAAAATATAGCAAAAAAATACCTCTAGTCACTACCGCTATTCAACTTTTAAGCTACAGCCCCTCCCTCAAGAACATTGGGACATATGTAGCCATTTTTAGCCATTTCAAACATGATAGTGTACACAACTGCATTCGTGCTCATTGTTTGGATTCATACATTAGGTACCACTGATTATTTGACCATACAGCATATTCAGCACCAAGTGGCCTACTAACAATTATATAAGGAGTGTCAGACCATGAAATGCCCAGACTTACATCCACAATAGAATATCAGCATTTTTTTAAAAAAAATTAAACAATCTCTGTGTTACTTTAGCTACAAATCCTACAGGTTAAGAGAGAGCCCACAGGTAATCTGTCTGTTGTACAGGAGACTACTAGATTGCTTCTACCCTCTGCTATATAACTTGTAATTCCCAAACTTTGTTGTACTGTCATAAGCAATGACTCAGGTCAGTGTAGAGAGAAAACTAGACCATGTAACCATGTACAGAAATAAAAAGAAAATGATACAACTCACTATTATTCCAGAATTCAACCACAACAAGTACTGTGCTACAGACTAGGGGCCATAGGATTTTTTGAATTCCCAGACTCCATGTGGGAGACTTCACTCTTACCTTGGGGCTGGGAATCAGAACTCTGCCCCTGCTTTCTGCCCCGTTACAGCCAGCATGTAATCAATCACACTAGTTGTTCTCTGAGGTTTAGAGCAACTTCAGAAAGGAATAAAAGGGGGTGTTTGGGGAGGCAGGTAGGGAAGGAGACCTGAGAGCCCAGGATGTGAGGTATCTTGGAACTGCTCCAGCTGCCTTCCCTCTATGTACAAAACAAGACAGTTCAACTGGATGGGTGAAAAAGCCTGTCTAGTGAAAAAGTAGGGCAGAAGGCAATGATTACTCACACAGTTTTCGCTCTGCATTGGATGCTTGTAAGCTTTTGACTTCAGGGGTTGATGGGTTTCTTGACTGCATCCTTAGCCTACACCAGCGAATAATTACCAATGACAGTGGCATCTTTGCACCCTAATTTATACTCACAGCAGTGAGGCTGGTCATTCCTTCAAGCTGCAGGCAGAAATGAGACCCAGCTCTTCCGTGGGTAACTCAGTACATGGCTTAACTGATGGAACAGTCTGCTCCTGAAAGGCCCGTCTCAAAAGTCTACCAGGGGGTTCTTTCCTGTCACTTTGTCTCAATCAGTCTCTGTACCAAAGGACTGACTGGTGGCCAATGTAATATCAGTTCTTAACAAGGGATGCAGGATATTAAAAGTTTGTTATTTTAACATCTGAGTAAATTGATGAAAAACACGACTAAAGATAAACTAACCAAATATAAAGAAGGTTGGTCGAACCCTAACTCTAACCCTAGTAGTGAAGAAAAGACAAGGTGTACATTCACCCACATTTTTCTAGGTTTGCTCTTAGCCAGTGCTCAGTACACTGGAAATCTAATTTTAATGGCCATTTGATGGCCATTTAGTGGCCAAGTCTTTTAAATGAATATATCTTGAGCATGGGGTTAGGATGTCATCCAATTAGAATCAGCCCCACTGCATATCTTTAATTATTGTTGAGGGGGACAAATACCTTAGCCAGGTAAGCAAACCAACTTGTGCTGGATAAGAGCATATGGCCCCAGAGACTTTCTCTGTGATGTTGCAAGGATCCACAGCATGAAACCACACGGTGATCTGGAAAGTAACACAAACATCCTATGCAAAGTTGCAGAAGGTGCACCAAAGGTGTTTCTGGACTGATGGCTCCTCCTTCTAAATGAACTTTGTGTGGAAAGAAGGAAGATGGAAGAAGCATTGGGTAAAGATGTGAGAATTACCAGTGGAAGATGCCCTTGTGCTTCCAGATGAGGTTTTTATTGTGCCATCGCCCAGTCACACTCACAAAATGTTATGGTGGATCTTGGCATCATATGCCACTCCTGGATTTTTCTATTTCTTCCAACTTTTTTCTTTCTGCAGAAAACCCCTTACGGAAAAAGGGCATGTTTCTTAACAACGCCTTCTGAGACTGATTGCTAGTGCTAGGATCCCTAGTTTGGAGCATCCATGGACTCCTATGCAATCTAGGGATGAGGCAATGCTCCTTGCACAATAAAAGGCAACAAACAATAAAAGCCTGGTCTGAAAGCACCCCAAGAATGGCCTCTCACCATCCATGCAGCTACCAGCGGGATCCCGAGTTGTTTTGCCTCCCAGATTGTCTACTGCAACCCTTGAGCAGCACGCACACTCGGACCCCCTCGTCATCCTGGGACACAGCAAGGAGAGGGCGCGAACCCTCGCTCCTTTCCTAAGGGAAGAGTGACCCCTTTCGTCACGCCCCATGGTCCAGGACTCAACCTTGACAGAAGGGGCATTCCCCCAGAGCCTTTGGGGGTGCAGAAGGAGACCCCCCCCGCCCGCTGATGCGGAAGGGAGCCCGACGGTGCTCGAAAGGACTTCCTCCAAGGTCAGGAAGTGTGTGTAGCACCTCAAGGACAGGGTCCTGCACGCTGCCTTCTCGCGTTAACATGTTGCTCTTGGCTTGCCTTGAGCTGTCCAGGAGCCCCCGCACGCTCCCTGTGGCTGCGCCGCGGCTCTCCCGGGGAGGGGGAGCGGGCAGAAGACCCCTCCCTCGTTCCAGAAGCGTCCGCACCCCTCGCCCTCCTCCTCGCTCCTGAGGGAGGGCGACGGCGTAGGCGGTGTCGGCGCGGAGCGAGCGACTGAGGAGGGCGGGAGGCGGCGTCCGGGCGGGGGGCGGAATTTTTGAGCCGAGCGGGCTGCTCAGAGCGGCGGCGGCGGCGGCGGGGAGAGCGGAGCGGGGCGCTCTGGCTGTCCGCCTGGGGTCTCGCGGTTGGTCGGCCGGGCAGAGACCCTCCCCTCTGCCCCCTCGCCACATTTATGGACGAGCACCTGAGCCTTCTGCGCTCGCCGGCCGCCCCGTCGTCTTGCAGGCACCCGAGGGGCGGCGGCGGGAGCAGCCGCGTCGTCGTCGGCGTGGTGGCCAGCAGCCACCACAACCTGGGCTACAGCGAGCAGCTCTTCCCCGAGGGCGCGCTGCCTGGTCCCGAGGAAGGGCAAGAGGAGGAGGAGGAGGACGACGACGACGACGGCGGCGACGGGGACCTCGAGGGTGGCATGACTGTAGTTGGTGGCGAGGATCCTCTCATCGACGAGATCCAGCACCCCCATGCCCTGCTGGGCGGGGAGCGCTATGACCACCCTGTTGCCCACACACTGCCACCCCCCAACCACCACCAGGTGGGCAACGGTGGGGACGGGGAGCACGAGTGCTGCGAGCGGGTGGTGATCAACATCTCTGGCCTGCGCTTCGAGACCCAGCTCAAGACCCTCGCCCAGTTCCCTGAGACATTGCTGGGTGACCCCCGCAAGAGGATGCGCTACTTTGACCCCCTTCGCAATGAATACTTCTTTGACCGAAATCGGCCCAGCTTCGATGCCATCCTCTACTACTACCAGTCCGGGGGCCGGATCCGGCGGCCGGTCAATGTCCCCATTGATATCTTTTCGGAAGAGATCCGTTTCTATCAGTTGGGTGAGGAGGCTATGGAAAAATTTCGAGAAGATGAAGGCTTCATTCGTGAGGAGCAGAGACCCCTGCCTGAAAAGGAGTTCCAGCGCCAGGTGTGGCTCCTCTTTGAGTACCCAGAGAGTTCTGGACCAGCTCGGGGCATTGCTATTGTCTCCGTCTTAGTTATCCTCATCTCCATTGTCATTTTCTGCCTAGAAACATTGCCTGAATTCAGAGATGACCGTGACTTTGACAGCAATGCAGGGACATTTGGGACTGGTGGTGGTCCTTTCATGGCAGATATCTTCACCAATTCATCTTCTCCAACAGCCGCCATGGTCTCATCTTTCACTGATCCCTTTTTTGTGGTGGAGACTCTGTGCATTATTTGGTTCTCCTTTGAGCTGCTCGTCCGTTTCTTTGCTTGTCCCAGCAAGCCCACCTTCTCTAAGAACATCATGAACATAATTGACATTGTAGCCATCATACCTTATTTCATCACCCTGGGTACTGAGCTGGCTGAGAGGCAGGGGAATGGGCAACAAGCAATGTCTCTGGCTATCCTCAGAGTCATCCGACTAGTTAGAGTGTTTCGTATATTCAAGCTCTCTCGGCACTCCAAAGGATTGCAGATCTTGGGACAAACCCTCAAGGCCAGTATGAGGGAACTGGGCTTGCTCATTTTCTTCCTCTTCATTGGAGTTATCCTTTTTTCAAGTGCTGTCTACTTCGCAGAGGCTGATGATCCCAGCTCAAGTTTCAGCAGTATCCCGGATGCCTTTTGGTGGGCTGTAGTGACCATGACTACAGTGGGATATGGGGACATGCACCCAGTCACTATTGGAGGCAAAATAGTAGGGTCTCTCTGTGCCATAGCTGGGGTGCTGACCATTGCCTTGCCTGTTCCTGTGATAGTCTCCAACTTCAACTACTTTTATCACCGAGAAACAGAAGGTGAAGAGCAAGCTCAGTATATGCATGTAGGAAGTTGCCAGCATCTTTCCTCCACTGAGGAACTGAGAAAGGCTCGTAGCAATTCCACTCTTAGCAAGTCAGAGTACATGGTGATAGAAGAAGGAGGCATCAGTAATAGTGCATTCAAACAGGCTGCCTTTAAAACGGGCAACTGCACAGCCACAAACAATCCGAACTGTGTGAATATTAAAAAGATCTTTACAGATGTTTAAAAGAGACCCTTCGAGGATATAGAAAAATATCACAGGAGGTCTGTGTAATCAATATTGTGAGGAACATGCACTGTCACCAGTCTTTGTGCTCTTGTTTACTACCTTGTACTTTTCTGGTCATTCCTTCTGAAGATGTGGATTTTTAGAAGGGAAAAGAACCAAGCAGATGTTACGGAAGAAGATAAATAAGAGGCTACAAAGAAGTACGTGCTGCTCCCTCCTGAAACAGGTTTTTGTTCTGCACTGTTTGTTGCAGAGCTTTGGGGTTTTGTTGGGGAACTTGCTTCTTGTGTGGTTTTGCAAACAGCAACACTGTTGCTTGTTTTCTTTTTGCATACATATATGCACTTGTTGGATTGAAAGTTATCAAGTGAACAAAGGTGAATGTAACCATATTGCAGACAGTGAAAATATTTAAATTTCACAAAGAGTTATTGCCATCACATCTTAGAATGATGCCTGCTGCTGAAACATCTTGTGTGTGTCATGCAAGGGTATAATCTAGATTTTTTAAATGTCTGGTTAGAACCTGTGTGCACTCTGACTCTGTCCATGGCAGATATGCAATCATTTCAATATAATGAGGGAAAAGTCGACTGTGAATCTGGATTACTTTCATCCTCAAAAGCAACAAATTGCTTTGTTGAGTCTGAAATCCTTTCTGCATAATATAATGGAAAAAGCTTCTTCCCACATTGCAAGACTGAACTATTGACCAGTGCATCACAGTGTTTGGTTTCCTGTAAATCGTGAATCACAAGGCTTCGAATAAATCTCTGCTGGGCTTTTACAGTGTCTGAAGCCTCAATTGGAAACCTTAAAAACAAAAGGGTCTTTCCATCCGTTTCAATGTATGCAAGAGAAGCAGTTGCATCTACCACAAGAAGATTAAAGTGGCAAACACGCCTTGCAGCGGAAGTTACTAATTTGGACCCGAGTGATGCAGTTTCCATAGCAACTTCGGTTTCCCGGGAAACTCCCAAAGGTTGTCATGGCATCCACTCCCTTCCCCCACAGTTCTTTGCTATTTCCATAGTAACCATTCCAGATGGTTCCAACTTCTGTAGTTCCACAGAAAAGCTGCTGCTCTGATAAATCACACACACACCAGAGCAATAATCCCTGAGAGATTTAGGTGTGGAAACTAGGCATTATTTTATATGCAACATTTTTAGATGTGCAATGTTCTCTGAAATTTGGCATCTACAGTCACATGAAGAAAAGCGATAATATGGAATAATTTTTATTATTCTGTACCTTATAATAGAATAAAAACACCTGTTCCACAAAACAGCAACAACACCCAGAATTCCAAGTCTCCTTTGCAACAATACATGATAATTTAAATCGGCAATTAATAATACATATGCTGCCTACCCAACTGCAGAGAGGACCAAAAGAAGAAAAGAAGATGGCACCATCTTCTGCTTCTTTCAGAACCATACCTTAATTCATGTCGCATGACCTAGTTTTATGCAAAATGCCCTTCCTTCCAAAGCACATATGGCACTGAAGAACCAAACTTAAGCCATTTATTAAAAAAGGATGCAAATCCAAAGAAATAAATGGAGATGAACCTTAAAGTGTTGGGTTGAAAATACCTAAACTTCTCTGGGGAATGTATGCTCACCTTCTCTCATCTACACATCTGTGGCTGTGGAATGTCAGGCAGATACAGGTGAGCTGTTCACTTCTGCAGGATGAATGACTTTTCCTTATATAGCACTGTATTGTCAGTAAGAACCACTGGTTTAAAACAAACCCTGTGGGAATTATTTTTAATAGAGATAAGCTTGGATTAATTTTAATTTCCTGTTTCAGTTTAAAATACTTTTTGTCACTCTCCTTATTCTGAAGTAGATCTGTTGCCCTCATTTTTAGAATCACAGAAAAATTACCTGTTCTAAAGCACTAATTCCAGTACATACAGCTTCCAGAGTAACTGGATTCAGGATTAATAACTGGCTGTATATCTCCATTGAAACCCAGTATGATTTACAGCATTAGCTGTTGGTGATTGCAAAAATTTGTTTCTGTTCTATGCTATGAGATCCAATGCCTGCTCTTAAACTTAGCCATTCTGCAGAGCTGCAAGTTGATGAATTGTATTAGCAGGGAGGTGCTTATTTAGCAAGGTGCTTACAGGCATCCTGAAATATGTGTGAAGCATCATGTGTGGCAAATAAATATGTGGAAAGCCAGGTTTTTAAAGCTAGATTTTCAACATAACTGTTAGTAATTGAGTGGGAAAGCTTTACTGACTTAGACTTTTTATTTTTTTATCCAGAGCTCTCTAACAGCTTATGATTTTCTGTCCTTTATATAAAATTATAGTCTCCGTGTGGTGATTTCTCTTGATGCCATTCAAAATTCACAGCTACTTTCATTCTTAATCAATAAGTCCAGTGTGCTGAGATAAATTACTTGGCCACGTCCTCAGCTCTTCATGGCACTATATGGAGCTGCAACTGAACCTTGTAATTTCCACCAGCTGGGAATTGGGCTAATTAGTGTCTGTGGGGTGTAGAGCTGTGCCAGCAGAATTGCTTATAGTAACTTGTCTGTCTGTGAATTTCACATTGTTTTGAATTTGGCTGGAGAGAAAGAATAAGGGGGAAAAGAGTTATAGGAACAGCATTTTCTTTCTTATCTGTTGAAGAAGTTAAATTATGATTTTGGTATTGAAAGAATATTAGTACAAAGCATGAATTCTTTGGCCAGGATCTAGAGAGTTACTTTGGCTGCAGCATTGGTCTATGTGTGTAATAGAAATTTCTGAGATTTTTTCCTTTGAGCAGTGGCATAATTTCATCTGTTTCAAAGTTCAGGCACGAGTGCTATTTAGCCAAAACAGCTCTGTCCACACACAAGAGGAAGATATCAGCAGCTTGCAGAAACCTCAAGGTTTGCAGTGATCCAAAAACCCTTAGAACTCACAAAAATGTTCAGTGAAGAAAGATTGAGCATGATCAGTAAGCTGCAGAATACTAACTGGCTGTTTGGATGAAAAACAAAACGGAATGGAGTGGCGTGGCCTGGAAAAGAGCATGCCCGGCTGATTGAAATCCTAAGAGGAGCACTCCAGATTGGAACATTTTTTTCAGGTCCCACTGGTCGCAAACTAGTTTTGAAATTCCTTGTGTCTCCAAATGAGATTTGTCATGAAGTTAGGAGATCATGACATTCAACAGGACTAATTGCTCTGTTTTTTGGAACTAGGCCATTATAATGAATAGGAATTCTGTGCTCCAGCAATAGGTGATATACATAATTCTGATGTATCTGCATAACCCAAAGCGTGACTCTGAAAACTATGACTTTACCAGCATATTTTGAATGCACACAGTCCATAGAAAAGATCTGTTACATAGAAGTCATGTTTGTAAGCATAGGAAAACAGCCTTCTCCAAGAAAAGTGTGCACGCGTGTGAAGGGGAAGATGATACCATATGTGTGCTACTTCTGAGTCATTTAAAACAACAACAACAGTTCAAAATCTTGGGTGGCAGGGGGACCAAGGAAGGGAATTTTAAAATCTTTGGGATGTGTAGCAGAAATTTTGTTAATGGTTGCTCTGTGTCATTTAAAACAATTGGACTATGCTAAAAGGAAAGGGAGACAGTACCATTTAAATAGTTATTTCTTCCTGCTTAGTAGCATGTCTACAAAGTACAGTGGTCGTGACTTGCAGACTATTGCCTTCCTGTTTTGTTTATTATGAAATTGCTTATATTTGAGCCATGCAGCTATTGTAGCTGCATATAAAATAAATAATTTTATATACTGAAGCCTAGGTCCAATGGATATCACAGAAAAATGCACTATAATAAATTATAAATCCTTAAAACATTTTAAACAAAACAGTCACATCAGCTTAAAGCTAAATTATGTGAAATGAATAACAATCCAGTCTATTATAACCTTTTAATAAATAGAGATAACCTATGTAGCAATATAAAGGGATTCTTAAAAAGGAAGGGCTTTCCTGACTAATGATTCAACCCTGCACACTCTATTCAAGTCATATGACAGGTGGTAGGGTAGAAACACTTCCTTCTTGTACTGATGGAGAATAATGTTATTGGGGAAAAACACAGTGTAGTGAAACATTTATGTTGGTGGGAGGCTATTGCCCAACTGCAAGGGAAAAACTATGCAGAAGTAAGGGTATGGATCTGGTTCTGGGGAAGAGAAAGCAGGCCATAGTGAGAATCTTAAGTTCATATGACTCAATCCTGACCTGACAATGGTGTAATATATTTGATGCAAAACAATTGGCATAAAGCTAAATGCTCCTAACTGAAGCCCAGAAAATTGCATTACTTGTCTCACTAACCTGCGCCTGTTTTAGAAAATAGGATTCTGACTAACTCAACAGCAGATCATAGAACACGTGTCTATCTAGCAGCATAAAACTAAGTGCCACACTATACATTGCACAGAAGATCTTTGATTGGCTTTCCCAAGGTATGTGATCATTTTGCTAGAATGGAATTATAAGGAGTTACCAATTTCTTCAGGACATTTGCAGAGATAAGGGGGTGTTTAATGCTTTCATTTTGCCACTTTGATAAAAAAAAAAAATCTTTCTCAGGCTGGTAGTGATAAGGGATTGGGCCTGGGGCAATTAGGAAAATGGTACAGGGAAATAGTTGAACCTACTTTCCAGAAATTGGCAGGCCCCAACCTCTCCTGGATGTCAGTAAAAATAAAAAACAGGAGTCCTCCCACAGAATGTATAGTTTGACCCTTAGTTCTATAAGGGACCCTTAGTTCTATAAGATCTCACATATCAGAACTGTAGCATGGGTCAACATCTTCCTATTCCTGTGTGTAAGAACAAGGGCTTTTGAAATTGCATTTTAACTGCGTTGGTAAGCCACTTTTAAGTGCCAAAACTGGTATATAAATGACTTAGAAATAAACTTTTAAGAAAGAATAAAAAGAATTTGCTCATGTACTGTCAGAATCCCGGAATCTCAATTTGAGAAGAGGGAATA